CGCCCTCACTCACCCTCAACCACCCTCACACTTATGACTTTTCCTGGTTTAGAAACTCACTCACCCTTATTTCAACTGTGAAGATGAGGGTGAGTAAGGGCCCTCATGAGGGAGGTTTGCCGAGGTATGGTGATATCCCCAGATATTTAAGATGAACAACTATTTGAAAAATGCAATACGTTTACGCTACACTTTAAAACATTATTCTAACTCTAGATGACATTACCAAAAAAAAAAAAAAAACTCTGAAGTGCTTAACCGTTGAAGCCTGGACCATATAATTAATGAAGAGGTAAGAAAACTTCAAGGTGGCATTTTTTTTTACCTTTGTTTTTGTACCCGACCTTTTACCAACTCAATATTCAACTGGTTAAACAGTTAACATGTTTGATCACGTTCAAAACATTAGCCTGCTGACTGAAACTTGCCCAGTCGTAATAATAATTGAGCGTGTAGATTTGTGAGGGCTATCCGAACGTCTGGTGGGAGTCGCTAGTCTCAATGAGTGAAAATATGCCGCCGCGGCCGATGCTTCTTGTTTCGTGATGTGAATTGTTTATCAGAGTCACAGAAATTTTACCGCGTTTCAAAAACCAAGGCATTCGTCAGAGCATCGTAATATTACCCTCCTGGCATCCGCGGCCATCCCGAGGAACATTGCAGTGGGTGAACGCACACTATCAACCAACACTCCATCGAGAAAAGCATTAAGCTCGAACGCTGCTGCACTTTTTGCTTTGCTTTATACTCCACTGGCGGCCAATTTGTTTAACCAGTTTGTTCCACTTTCCTCGACTGTTCCATCAACGTACAGGTAGTTTGCGAACCCCAACTGTGCTCTTAAAAGGGGACCAGCAGAAATACTCTTCCGCCTGGCGGAAAGTACTCCTCGCCCTCTTTCTTTCTTGTATTGTAGCACGGCGAGGCGAGGGGAAAGGTCCCCTTTTGCGCCGGCTTCTTCTGAGAGGATAAGCCGAGAAAATCCCCATTCTGAGCGACGGGCGATGGGTGCGGCAGCAGAGACCTCGTGACTTACAGGTAGCTTCAGCTCCTATCGCGTAATCTGCCCCATTTTTCGGCGCTCACCAAGCCTAGCCCCTCGGGTGTAGGTTTTACGGGGCTGCAAGGCTGCGCCCGCGCAATCACCGAATTTCAGCTGTCGAAGGTTTTTGGTTTAGCCCGTGGCAAAGTAAACGCATACTTGAGTTCTGCGATCCATAACCGCACCCATTGAAGGAACGTTTCATAGATATTTTCGGTTGATCAAGGAGCTCAAAACACATGCGCGAAAAGTGGTGACTTGAATATGTAAGTATGACTTACATCTTCACAAAACATTCCATCTTCAAAAAAACGGCTTATCACGCTCAAACCTGCCTCAAACTAGGATCGATGGAAAAGAAAACGATGTACCAGGCGCGGGCACCTTCTAGAAGGTCTCTGTTTTCTAGCAGCGAGCACAAATTATTGGAGAACTTTAGCAGGCTATGTTTTCAGGCCACGCTATATTTAGCAGGAGCTCGCGCTGCCACTTCGATCTATTCTCTGAAGCGCGCGCCTGAAGTGGCAGCGGGCCTTTGAAAACGATTTACTAAAATGCCCTGTTGTGTGCCTAACTCGCAGAACATGATGGCCAGCAAAATATATGAAATTCATATTTACACATTCCCAACAACCACCTGACGTGAGAGGGCATCAAGGGTGGATGTCAATTTTAGAAAGTTTTAGTGGGTCGTGTCTAGCCACTTAGATAACCGCACGGTCCGTACCCCACAACGAAATGTAAGCTAGACTCGCTGTTTACATTCTTCGTCGAGTGCGGCTATGGAGCGGAAAAGACAATATTAAAACCCTTTTTTGGCGAGTCTAGCGTGTCGTGTTATGGTTCAACGCTGCTTGTATTGGTACCATAGCACGGGCCACTACTTCGAAGTATTTGTGGTGTCTCAAAGAAACTAAAGCAAAAGGAGACAATTTTTTTTGACGTGACACAGAATTGTATTTAACATTGTAAAAAACTTTTAAAAAACTTGTATTTAACATTGTAAAAAACCCTGCGCCACGCAGTTAGCACAAACAAACTATCGCCGGTGTTTTCCATTTTTTTTTTCTTCTTAGAAGTAAATGATGTTTAGGAAACTGTTAATGTGAGTATCCAACCTAAGCGGTAGATTTTAGTGCGAGCCAATACATTGCTGGGGAAAATAGCAAAAAGCGCCGGTGTCGTGTTTGCGCTAACAGTGTCGCGTAATGTACGCATACCGCTGCACAATCAACGCTAACGGAGTGAATCAGTAAATTTGGTGGCCCCCCAAAAAAGTGGTGTTATTTTGTTTCGTTTTTATGGTTGAATGGTTGTTATTTTTATACAAGCAATTCGGTAAAGAATGCTTCCATTGGGCACCAACTTACGAGGCATCAATTTGTTCTTATACACTAAATTCTGCATGTCCCTTGCGTAGAAATGTCAATATTGCGTTCGTGCTAGCTGTTTCACGCACAGTAAGAAGACCAGTTCATTGCTCGAACATTTAAACTAGGCCTTTCTTACGCCAAATAAACATTTTGTGAGTACGCTTTATTACTGGGTTCATAAAGTAATCTACGTTGTTTATTTGGAGGAAAGGAAGTAGTGGTGAGGGGAGGCGGAATTGAATACAAAAGATGACTCTAGGGAACCTCGACCTTTGTAAATATGGCGCACACCTTATAATTCTGAGTTAATTACATCACTTTTGCTTTGTCTGTTTCAGAATTTGTTAACAGTCGCGCTAAAGGCCAAGATGAGCGACAAGTCAGATTCCCCTGTTTACTTGAGCAAGAAGCGTATGCGAGATGGGGGGAGGGGGGGGGGGGGGGAATTGAAAAAGCATACGGGTGTAACCGTAGCAATCTCCAACCAAGCCTGAACCTTACTTTTTCTGAAACCGCGGAGCTGACTGCTTTCGACGACTTGATAAAGCAAGCCAAAGCCGTTAATAAGGGTGACTCGTTGTCAGCTGTGATAATCAAGGCGCTGCGACGATTTCTTGAAACCTTTCATCTATTAAAACAAATGCTTGCGCTAATCTTGTAGCGGTACGCGTTCATTACGTGGCACTGTTAGCCGGAACGCGACATCGGCGCTTTTTACTATTTCTGCTAGCAACAGGTATTTTCTAGCACTGAGCTCTGCCACTTAGTCTGGATAGTTGCATATCAGTTTTCTAAACATCATTCACTTTTAAGAAAACAAAAGTAGAAAGACCGGCGATAGTTTGTCCGTGCTAACTGTGTGGCAGTATACCTAAAATGTCTTTGCAATGACAAATTACAAAGGCGTTTCATGTCAAAAAAAGATCGGCTACATTTTTTTTTCATTTTTAATGCTTCAAAACTTCTTTAAAAGGGCAGCATGTGCTATAGCACCGATTTAAGCAACGTTGAATTATAACACGAGACTGGGATGTGTAAATATAAATGTCATCTACATTCGTTGGCCATCATGTAGTGTAAGTTACGCACACAATAATTTGTGCTCGCTGCTAGAAAACAGAGACCTTCTACAAGATGCCCGCGCCCGGTATATAGTTTTCCTTCGATCCCAATTTGAGGCAGGTTTGAGCGTGATAAGCCGTTTTTTTGAAGGTGGAATGTTTTGTGAATATGTAAGTCATCCTTACATATTCAGGTCACCACACCTCGCGCATGTGTTTTGAGCTATTTGATCAACCGAAAATATCTATGAAACGTTCCTTCAATGGGTGCGGGGATGCATCGCAGCTCCCAAGTATGCGTTTATTTTGCCACGGGCTAAACTAAAGAACTTCGACAGCTCAAATTCGGTGACTGCGAGGGCGCAGCCTTGCAGCTCCGTGAAACCTACACCCGAGGGGCTAGGCTTGGCGAGAGCCAAAATATAGGGCAGATTACATGATAGGAGCTGAAGCTAACCGTAAGTCACGAGGTCACAGCTGCCGCACCCATCGTCCGTCGCTCAGAAAGGGGATTTTCTCGGCTTATCCTCTGAGAAGAAGCCGGCGCAAAAAAGGACCTTTCCCTTCGCCTCGCCGTGCTACAATAAAAGGTAGAAAGAGGGCGAGGAGGACTTTCCGCCAGGCGGAAGAATATTTCTGCTGGTCCCCCTTTAAGGCCCGTTCACACTCTTGCGACCGAGTTAGACCGAGATAGACGAGACCAGTTTTTAAGCCTCTTGCGACTTCTTAGGACCAGCTCCGCTTCATCGCATTCTATCCTAAGAAGTCGCAAAAGGCTTAAAAACCGGTCTGGTCTCTCTCGGTCGAAGTCGGTCGCAAGAGTGTGAACGGGCCTTTAGAAAAAAGGCCGTAGAACTTACTAAGCCGTATTCACCAGCCGTGACTTGCTAGCGCTATTTGAAAGTCAGTAGCGAGTTTTAGTCGCGAGCTAAGCGAAGAATCGGCGACTAAAGAGCGACTAGACCCTGAGGTATTCACGAGCGCGAGGTAAGCGGGTGATTATCTAGTTCCAAGTAACAAGCAGAAATGACATAAAAAGATAGGTCACGCATGTGCGTACTTCAACACCAGTGTGTAAATTGAGATTTTATCTCGCAAGAATTAGCATGTAGACATTTATAAGAAAAAAAATGTTGAAAGACTGATTGGCCGGGACAGCATTTTACAAAAGGAGCAATAAAAAAAATTGTGAGGCAAAACACTGAAGGCGTATTATCAACCGACAAAGAAATATCGAAGTGCCCCTAAATGCGGACTCTCTCGTCGTTTAGCGCCCTGCTGAGATGGCTTCTTTAACTACTAACAACCCTCTCGTGGATGATGTTTGCATGTCTTGTTAATTTTTAATGCTAATGGGAGCTAGAGAGTCATTTCATAAGACCCTAAATTTAGCGGGAGGCTCTTGTAGAAGCTCAAGTTTAAACAGCGACAATGTTTAAAAATTTTGGTTGGCTTCTTACGGTAATCCAAGTATAAAAAAGTGTATAAAAATTAGTGGAGCTAATGTGCAACAAAATTGAGTTCTTACTAGAAACATTGAACATCTTTTATTAAAACTTTGATTCCGAAATCTAGGTTTCAGCAAGAAAATTAAGAGGTTTCTAATAACAACTGGTAGCCGAATAATAATTAGACTTAGAAAAAACTAACTAGGTTACTTTATTGTTAAGATGCCTATTTAATTACCTACATGGAATACCAAATATGGTATTTTCAATAACGTCTCGTTAAGTTATTCGAACATAAAATGTTTACATTATTCACATTTATGCCGTCTCGGCACATGGCTTACTATTTATACCAGAAAGCATGACTATTATTCAGCTATTTCGACTGAGAATGTAGAGATTGTTATGTCATGATAAGAAATGTCCTCCATAATAAACTTAAAACACGCTTTGAGGTGGTTGTGTAAATTTGCGCTCTATATGGTATTGCGCTACAATGCAAAGGCTCTCATCTTTCTTCGAACACGAGCGGTATTGTGGACGGTAGAAAGCCTCCAGGCCCACTTGGGATCACTGGCTAAACACGTACGGCGGCAGCATCTCACGTCGAAGGCCACGTCCTGCAGTAACAGTAGAACGCAAAGTTAAATAGAAGACGGTAGCACACGAGTTCCGTACGCCGCAGCTGATCTCTGATGGCATACATCTCCTTCGGCAACGTGTAATGAGACGACACTGCGTTCTTCAGTTCGCAGAGAGATTCCATCTTGAGCGAGTTGAAACCCGAGTGGCCAACTCGACGGACTCCGGCGCTTTCGGCGCAGGAGCCGGTGATGTAGGCGTCCTCGATGGGGAAAGGCTTCACGTGACCCGTAGCCCTGTAAAGGGTCTCCACGACTAGCCTGCCCACCACGTAGGCGGAGCCCGCAACGTAGCTCGGATACACGGACTCGGAGTATTCTTCGAAGCTTACGTACCACTTGTTGGTCGGATCTCGAATTGGTTCACTGCGGGAGAATAGGCGGCCGTATATGGCATCTGGAGGGCGCGAAGCCATCGTCGCGAAAAAGTTTGCAGCGTTCAGGTAGGTGTCGTCGTCCACCTTCACAACAAATCGAGCGTGGCGACAGAAAGCGGATGCCCACCGCAACATCATGATAGATTTGAGAGTCACGTTGCGATAGGCGTCCACGAAGGACTCTTGAATGATGTCCGAGTGCACCGAAGACTCGCTTTGAACGGAAGACTGAAGTCTCGAGTCGTTGGTGGCACCCAGAAGAAACACCATCCTGGTGTCCGGGTGCAACTTGACGTCTCGGCCCCAGGTCTCGCGGATGGCACTGCGGTGCCCCGCGTTGCCCACGGCGGAGAACACCATGAATAAATAGTCGACGCGGGGAGGAATGGTGTCGTTGCCAAGGCACAGGTGGCGTGAATCGATTAGGTAGTCGAAAGGGCGCGCGTAAATGCGGCGCTTCGGGAAGACTTTCAACGGAAGCGACTGGAGGACACGGCCTGGCGACGAAAGTGAAGAGTTGATGTCTCCGAGCTGAGTGCGTCCCTGGATGCACAGGTACGTGGCGCCAGTAAAGAACGCCACAACAGCCAGGGAGATGGCGAGTTGACGCACGGCACGCCGTTTTCGGAATGACCACATTTAGCGGATCTGGAAAAGCAAGAAAACAATGAGCGATTAAGTGGCATGTAATATTTCGGCTGTTTAGGAATAGCTAATAATAAAAAAATAGCCTGTTTCAAATGCAGTATATTTAAAATCTGCTCTAGTGTATCAATGGCTTTTAAACATGTTTGAAATTGCTTAAACTGAAGACCACGGTTATAATTCGCATCACGGCATATGTTAAAAGTGAGATACATTTATACACCTGTCTACTTATTGGTTAGAATTAAAATACGCAATCTTGTCAGTCGCCACTTACGGCCTTCTTTCACTAATGGGTTGACGTAGGCTCCAGTCTATCATAACTGCTTTCTGCCAAGCCTGTTTGAAAGAAAACTGTCAATATACTTGTTATTTGTATACCTGACAATAGTCTTTCGCGTTTTTGATTGTGGGGGATATAAATGCCCGAACTCATATCAGTGAATGCTCCTCTTTGAATCACATTTCTTCTAAACCTAACTCAATAAAACCAGGGCTTCATTGTTAAAATAATATCCAATGCATTGGTACAGTACTTGTCAACTTAAAAATAGTCCTGAAACCTTTCCCTTTGAAATGTAATGAGCTTTTGCCCAATTTTAATGCTAGTACTTTTTTTCTTGTGAAGGGTTCTATTAATTATGGTTTGTGTTAAGGACACGCTAGAAACATCGGAGAAAAAGTGGTTTAAACGCAAAACTTGACAATCAGCTTTTAGGCGAACTTATAACTCTACGAAGCCTATATTTTTCTGGGGACTTTCTGAAAGGCAAATTGGTGATGTTGAAGTGCTGGGGTTTCTAGGCACCGTTTTTTTTATGCGACAGTGCGCCAGCGACCTCTCGCGCATGTCAGCAGCACCGTATTCGTGTGACAACGTCGACGTACGTGCAGGCTCTAAACAATGACTCTTGCAATAACAAAGCAAATGTGAAACCTTTTTGAATGGTTGGCGAGTGAGATTTTGAGGTGAGTTTAATACTCTTTCTTGTCTCCTGTTAGGTTCCTCGCCTAATCAAGTTAATTACCCTAGTTACCTATAACCCCCAGAAATTTAACCTTAACACATATTTTAAAAATTATGGGGGTTAGACCAGAGACACATCTGGACCCTGTTTAAACTAAAAAGTGGATTAGTACAATCTAGACAATTTGTACGACACATTGATATCTATAACCGTCACGTTCAATTATATAAATATTTATATCGTAAAAAAGGGGAATGCAAATAGTTCTATTAATTAAACTACCGTAAAATCCTGTAAGGGCACCCAACCAAAGTGAAGAGATATATAGTGAAAACCATGAGATGGGCTATTTTTGGGAATGAGTCAGCAAAATGTTCTAAAAGAGTTATGATGAACACACAGGGCACCGCTACAAACCATTTGACATCTCGCTGGCGTCCAAACTTTCTCACGAACGACGTCCGAGCTAGTCAGTCGGGGAAACAGATCGAGAAAACTTAACAGGTTCATGCCATATCAAAATATCCGACCTCCGGGACCCGTAAGGCCCGCTTCAGACGGGGCAATTTTCCCAGCAATTTTGAGGTTGCTGGCGTGTTGTTCCCTAGCTTTTTCTAGATCGACACGTATTGCTGAGATCGGGTCCGGCTCGAAACGGGCGAGCAACTCGAACAACTCGAAGACGTTTGAAGCGGCAGCAGCCAATCAGGGACGCGATATTTTCACGTGCCACCCCTGTGGTGGTGATGATGACAGCTAATGACTTGATTCTGGTTTTAAATGGATTGTTCTTGGAAATAAATCTGTTCAGAGAGATAAGTTAGTGTTCTCAACGCCATTCAAATATATAAAAACATGTTTTTAGCGCGTAGCTGTGCGTCTAAATAGTGCAAACAAAATCAAATTTAATGATGATGATGGCAACTCCTAGCGATTCGGTTGCTGCATGTGAACGCGGGCGGCCCGTGTTGCTGGTGTTGCGACGTCAAGTTGCTGGGCGAAATTGCCCCGTCTGAAGCAAGCCTAGGCGGACCGTCTTTGTGTAAACTTCCGAGGGAGAGGGGATGGTCCCTGGGCGGTGCAACTCCGGGGCCCCTTTAAGCGTCCCAAGGGGAGCTTAAAGGGGCCCTGCAAGGACTTTTTTTACTGGTTTTTAATTTGCACCGAACCTGAGCGCATTGAACGTAGTAACTTAATAAAACGTTTCTCAAATGTCGCTTATTTTAAAAGGTATCGGCAAACTAAATTCCCAAAAAAACAAGCAAAACATAACCTCCTTATGACGTCTTTAGTCGCTTGAGTGCCTGTGAACTAGAGGAGGGTTAGTGAGTTCAGCGAGCGCCCACGGCTGCCGCACTCCGCGTCGAAGGCTCGAAAGGGCGCCACTAAAGAATGTTCTTGAAAAGCTGTACAAAGCGGGCAGCCAGAGCGGCTCGCATGGTGTTTGCTGCGCCATTAAACACTAATCCGGCATGACACTTCATTGCCCACAAACGACAGCAAACACGGGGTAAAGATCAGTTCAGAACGGGAGCCACTTCGCGCTGCCATACAGCCAAACGGCCAAAACGCAAGCCAAACCTGCTCGCCGAAGGAATTCGGAATGCTCGGAACCGGACGAATCCTCGAGCCCGTATACGACCGCAGCGCCGCCCCGTACATCCGGGACGTTTCTACACTCGTCGCTCGTCGGTGTTTGATCCCACTAGACTTTTCTAGTATGGGGCGGCTTTTCCACCGCTTGGTGGTGGGTATGTCGACGGGTCATTTCTTGTTTCCGTACTTTATAAACTGCATTTGTTTCTTTTCTGATTTAAAATACTGAACAAAAACTACTTTTAAATATAAATGAAATGGTTCGCGACCCTTATAATATTCTGTACTTCAACTTTTTCCGAACCTTTTCGCGGCACGGACCAGTAGTAAACCCAGGGCCAAAGACTTCACATATCGCGCGGTTTGGGCACCACGGGACGCGCCCGTAGGCGGAGGAGGTTTCCGCGTCGTCTGGATAAAATATGACGCACTAATATTTAGTTACTCCATGCCCGCTGGTTTGCCCCAACTCCGAGATGTAGAAACCGCAAAAAAGGCAGACGCTTAAATATGATTGCAGGGCCCCTTTAACGTCTGGAAGGACAAGACGACGATTATCCCACACACTCCCAACCTTATAATGGGTGGGGAATAGTTCCAATGTCTGCAAATTGACCGCTCGACGATCCCTGGGGTCCCAGCATATAGCTGGCGACGTTTAATTCCCTTCTCGCCACCGTGACGGATAAGCACCCCAGAAGGTCAGAAACAAACATTGTCGGACTCCGCCGGCTCGGCGCCAGCCGCAGGTAGAGGTCCGAATTGTTGACGGGTTAGAACTCTACATGTAGCTGGTACATGAAACGCAAATGTCTGAAACATCCTTGATGGACAGCCATTGTGTCGGTCGTATCAATAACAGTTCCTTCATTTTTGATATCTAGATTAAGACGGAACGTTTCGCAAAGTTGGTATTTGGATGTTTGGACCATTTAGACGTCTATCCATTATTCGCCATCAAAAAAGGCGACGCTTTATTATCCAAAATTTTATTCTTGAACAATTCTGGTTGAAGCAACATTAAAGAATGACATTATCACGAATTAGAATACATTCGAGGTACCATTATAAAGGAGCTATCACCAAAATGCTGTTGAATGCTCTTCATTTAAGTGACCCAACGATTATGGCCGCTGAACTCACACTTTACCTGTATTGACCCAGATTTTCATCTCACGTTCGAGCTCACTCGAAGGCGGCGCCAGCGCAGTTTGTTTGGAGGGTGGGCAAGACTTTAGCAATCGGGTCCGTTATGTGAAGCTCCGGTGTCACGGGAAGTCCATCGTGATATCAGCAACCTGCGAGTGAGAGACAGGCTCGTAAGAAAAACACGACAATGCATCCCTTAACAAGAATATAGTTACTTTATGCTTTAAGGCCGGTGCGGCGAAATGTCTCGGCCCCCCTGCAGCTCCGGGGGGCATCTTCTGCTGCACTTGACTACTAAGCTCTTGAATCTCCGAGAGAGAAAGCTTTCGCAAATCGTAAATAAATAGTTGATTTGTAAATATTACTAGCTGCACTAGCAGGCTCTAGAAGCATTGATGAAAATAACATCACTATCATTAATAACCAGAGAGCTTTCGCTTCTTCATCACACAGAGGTACTAATAGTTTGTACCGCGCCATGGAACCCTCTCGTCAACCTCGAAAACAGGCAAGCTCAATCTTCGACAAATGAGGTCGAGAAAGGACGATGAACCTCCAGGAAATGTACACGTTAAAGAGGAAGGATTTCAGTGGAGCGGCAGGGAAGGCGGTACGTATTTTGCCTGTTCTCGTGTGGTGATCACCTTCGTATGCTGCTAAGGGTTGAGGATACATTATTTTTTATAATATAAAACTTTCACATAAGGAAAACCCCACAAAATCGCAAAAGTTGGCCAAGAATTTGAGAAGGACGAAGAACGCTCGGTCTTTTAACAACTCGCAATCCACAAATTTGACGTATAAATCCCAATACGCAATATTTTTTTTACCGGCCACTCTCTGTTTCAGCTTTTACCAACTTTCTAAAAGATATAAAAAAAATGTCTAATTGCACAGTAATATATAAAATTGGGAAGCGCGACAGGGTGTCTCCGAAAACGCTTCCCGGGAACCGACAGAAGCCCCGACAGACACATAAACAACACAGAGCGCAGAATGCTGTCCTGACTGTTCAAAAAAATAAAAAAAAAAATAAAAAAAACGACGACCTCTGCACTGAGTTTGGATTTACTTCCTACTGCCGTGTACAATATGCTGCGGTTACTGCCCTTGCCCACGCAGGTGCTCCTTTTTGTTGTACCTTTGAGAAAAATAAAACTGAAGTACTCCTCGGGGAATTATGTTTTCAGAAAAATAGCTGTCATAATAAAGGCAAGACTTCACGTCCTCTCATTGGTAGCAACAAAAGTAGGAACCAAAGTCTTGGCAAGACATGTTTATCCGCATCGTTTACAAAGATCAACAGGGTTTACGATGTATTGACATCCTCGGGATCGTCGAGCTTCCTCTGCCACCGCGCTCGTGAATCGACAGCTGTTTACGTCCCCTTCTTTTTCACTCAACTGGGCAAAGAATCGGTCTATCCCTCCCATTGGACGTAGACGCTGCAACTGAGGATGCGCACCGCTAGCTTTGCCTGCGGAATTCCAGGGATTATTTCCGGTCACCGTAAACTAGCGGGATGGAGGGTGTGGTTGCAGCTTTCGCTGCCTCGTCAGCTCACAGGTGAACGGAGTGCACCTACATTTTTCCTCTTAGATACAGGATTTTACTTTCACAAGGACTACCATAATGCGGGCGTATGAGAAATGACTAATAGTAGCGCGGAACATTTTTGAAAATATCAAAATTGTTTATAGTGGCTCCTTGACAAGAGTACGAAAAAGTAACGTGAAACTGATCTGTAACGTAAAGCATAAAGTAACCCGTTACTTTTCAGGAAGAGAAATTTGTAATGGTAACTCATTACATTTGAGGCTCAGTAATGAGTAATTGGAATCCGTTACATTTTTTTTCAAAAACGGGCACGAGTCTGCACTTGACATGGTGTCTCCTGACGTCAGAGAGTCACGTGGCTCACGAGGCAACGTGACGTCCCTGTCACGTGACACCGTCACGTCGTCGTGGCTACATGCCACGGACGCGAAATCCCCGAGGCTGGTCCCCTATAGCTTCGCATTTACTAACAAAAACGAGCCCTATATATGTATATATATATATAAAAAAAGAATATCCCTAATACGAAAGGTTTCGAAGCGTAAAGGACGGCGGTAATTGCGTCGATGGCTCTTCTGGGCCCGTATTTCCATCTCAATATACAACGGCAGTCCGCAGAAAGAGAACTTCTTCATTTCGTCGATTGACAGGCGCACCGAGGGCGACTGCTCCGGGCGATCGGCCTTCGGAACGCCAGACGGATGGAAGACGCGTGCCTAGAAAGACGAGAGGGCGCTGCCATAAAACGGAAGCACCAATATCGGAGAGTGAGCGCGCTTCGTACCTGCAGACACAAATGCCAGCTAATGGGACGTCGCCGATCGACGGCCACGTTCGAAGCGGTGCTTTTCCAGCGATAGGTATATTACGCCACCTATACCCACCCGAATAGCGCGAAAATATGTCTGCTGGCTCAATTTAATTTTCAGGCGCCCGCAAAAAACCCCGTCGCCAACGTTATCGTGTCCTCATTTAGAATTGTATACCGAACAAATTGTACTCCTTAATTAAAGCCCCAGTCACAATGCTCGAACATCACACAAAAGATGCGGAGTTTCTCCGCGGATATGATGAGAAAATTATCTGCGTAGAGTATGTTTGCTTCATTCATGCCTCGATCATGTCTTCAGACAGTCTCGTACGACCAATGTGACGGTCCTACAATAACTAAACATGAAAATGCTTGCCCACTGATTTTTGCGTCATGTATGAACAGTCTGCATGTATGAGTGTCCGCGGCCTAAAGCCGGGGTGAGTCTGCTCACACATCATCCAAAAGACAGTCTGCATGAAGATTCGACAGATAGTCACCGCGAGATCCGTGAATCGAATGCCGCATGGCAACGAGTGCGAGGAGGAAAGAAACACACGGCATTGGAATCACGGATATTCCGGTGACTTGTGCTTAAAGTCTGACACTTTTTTGTATCATGTATGAGCAGTGCGACCCCCAGGCTTCAAGGTTTAAAAGCAAACGTATTATTTCGAGCTATCTGTGGACTGAACGTTGACTGAAACACGAATGTCGTTTATCAGTGCCACAATGTATCGGTTTACCCGCCTATCTGTTAAAGCGCCGTTATTAAAATCATGCGAGGAAAGAAAAAGAAAACTTGGGAATATCACCTAATTTATTTTTATAACATTTTTTATGTGGAAGGTTTTTCTCATTAGTTGTTCGCAGTGTTTATTTTTTAATTGCGCTATTTTCTCGAATAATTGATGATCACAATGAGTCTTCTTTTTTTTTTTTTTCTCACGATCACAGTGATCAAACATGCTTGTACGCTGGCGATAAAACGTTGAGCGAGAGTACAACTTAATTACGACCAGACACACGCCGTTTTCACTATCAGTATCACGCTCCCGATAGCTGCGGACTCATTATTAGAGGGCAGACAGGAACCGCGCGCACGGGGTCATCCGGTACGGTCGACCACATCGACCCTTAACATCAACAATAGACACCTGCTCCCCACACACCGAGGCCCCGGCGTGCATACATTCACGCTCTATAGATATACGCAGACATAAAACGAAATAGGGGCGAGGGGAAAACCTCAGTCGTGCAAAGGTCCTCCCCTTGATTGCCGCTCCCAAATTTAGCGGGGAGCAGTAATTCGGCCTCGCCGGTCTCCGCGCCCGCTCGACACCGCGCGCTCGCCAGCGCGCAGGCGAGCAGGCGGAATTGAATGTTCCGGGAGTGATGGGTCCCTCGTCCCCCGCACAACAATGGTTCCCGGCTGACTGGAGGGGCGTGCCCCGAACATCCATTATGCAGCGGGCAGCGTAGCCTTGGCGGCCGATACGCGCGGTCTCCCCAAGCAACGCAGAGGGAAACAGAGCCGCCGACACGGAACGACGACTCGAGATGACAACCACGGCGAGGACCCGGCGAGGCACGCGGGGCAGCGCAGGAAGGCAATTACGGGGAAAGGGGTGCTAGCGGAGGGGAACGAGCGGTCGGCACGGTATGTGCCATGCCCCTGGGAGTAAAAGGCATCTTTACAAACACGCGCTTCAGAGACCCAGTGACGCGCCCGTAAAAAGCAGAACGTGGGAACAGCGGGAAAAAAATACATTAAAATCGGGAGATATAACTCCCACCGATCAGTGCGCAGGAAGTTGATAAGGCGCCTCGCCTGACATTGAAAGAGTAGCAGAATGGTTAATTATATATTTAAAAATCTAGAAAAAGACAAGACTGGTTGCATTGAACTGAAACATACCGAAAACTGATTGTAAAGCCAAAAGAAAAAAAAACGAGCAGAAATACAGGACAGATAATTTATTAATGTAAGCTTTAAACCACTGAACACAAGACCGGAGCAGTTGACTGCGGCCGGACAGACCGCGAAAATATGGCCATTGACGCGTACTCTGGCACGAATGACTGCCTGAAGACGCTGCTGTAAACGTTTCAGACACACGCATTTTTAAACCAAATAATAAAAGTACAAAAAAAAAGAAAAAAAAAAACCGCCGACGCTGCAATTTTGCACCAATTTTGGTAGCGCACAAAAATGTTTGAGTGCACAATTGCCCACGCTTCATGCCCTATAAATGACAGTGTATAGAGTTATAAAGCTCAATATATTACTTAATTGCAAATACTGTACAGTCGTCGTCAAACTTGTACGGAATATTTGTGGAATATTGAATGCAGAAAAAAGATAAAATATGAGAGAACTGCGCATATTTATGTGAACTGGAGGTATGCTACGGACATAGTGGGACACAAAGAGAAATAGCCTAGGGCTAGCACCAGTTATGCACGCACACATAGAAAAAAAAATAGAACAAGCCAAGATTAGGGTTAGCATGTGTTCCAGATAAGTCTGCTGAGCACTGTACATTTGTATTTAGATACAAGAGCTAAATTTAAAAAAAAAAATGCGTAGGCGATCTGCCTTAACAGTTTAAAACAGAGAAACTGTCCACGCGAGGAACAACACGACACCAATCACAAAGGAACCTCTCTCGTTTTGTATATTCGTCTTCTGTCACGTGATGTCAGTCCCATTCAAATTGTCCATGGGCCACAATAACTCCAGTGCGGATGTCCGAAATATCGGCCACCTTAGACTCTGCC